ACATTTAAGTACATATTTTATTATTGTTTCTCAAAATACACATGATATAATGTATTTTGTTGCATTTTTAAAATCAAGAATGGTACAAAAAGTGAGAAATAATTTCATCAGTCTAGGAGCTATGGATTGGGTCACTTGCTGCTGGTGGTGGTGTTGTGGTTGTCATTGTTGCTAATCTCAGGGTTGTGGGTTTGAGCCCCACTATGGGTGAAAGATTCCTGCATTGCAAGGGGTTGGACTAGATAATCCTCACAGTCCCTTCCAACTCTACAATTCTGTAATCTATGATTTGTGATAATTTTTCCCAGGCTGGGACTCAAGGGAGCTGACACAAATTAAAAACAAGACAGATTAAATACAGAAAGCTAAAAGCATATAAAAAGATAATCATCCAAAGTAATTAAATTGTAATAGAATTAAAACTTGTTATCCAACTTGTTATCCTGAACTTGTTATCGAATGAAACTGGACAATTCAGAGCAGACAAGATGAATCATAGAATTGTAGAGTTGGTAGGAACTTCATGTGTCGTTTTGTCCAACTTCCTGCAATGCAGGAATCTCAACTAGATCATACATGACAGATGGCCATCCAATCTCTGCTTAAAAACTTCCAAGGATAGTAATCCCATGGGCATTGAACCAGGTTTTAGTACTTTTGGCAGTGTGGGCAGGTGCCAAAGTCCTGCTGGAAAATGAAGTCAGCATCCCCATAAAGCTCGTCTGCAGAAGGAAGCGTGAAGTGCTCCAAAATCTCCTGGTAGACAGCTACGTTGACCCTGGACTTAATGAAGCACAGTGGAACAACACCAGCTGATGACATGGCTCCCGAAATCTCTTTTCTGATGAGAGCAGCTTTTGCATCTCATTTGGAAACCAAGGACCCAGAGTCTGGAGGAAGAATGGGGAGGCACACGGTGCCAGATGCTTGAAGTCCAGTGTGATGTTCCCACAGTCTGTGTTGATTTGGGGAGCCATGTCATCAGTCATCAGATTTTGGAGCACTTCATGCTTCCTTCCGCAGACGAGCTTTATGGGAATGCTGATTTCACTTTCCAGCAGGACTTTGGCACCTGCCCACACTGCCAAAAGTACCAAAACCTGGTTCAATGCCCATGGGATTACTGTGCTTGATTGGCCAGCAAACTCGCCTGACCTGAACCCCATAGAGAATCTATGGGGCATTGCCAAGAGAAAGATGAGAGACATGAGACCAAGCAAGGCAGACAAGCTGTAGGCTGCTATTGAAGCACCCTGGTCTTCCATAACACCTCAGCAGTGCCACAGGCTGATAGCATCCATGCCACGCCGCATTGAGGCAGTAATTGATGCAAAAGGGGCCGAAACCAAGTACTGAGTACGTACGCATGCTTCTACTTCTCAGAGGTCCAATATTGCTCTGTTTGCAATGCTTGTTTTGCTGATTTCATTTAATATTCTAATTTTCAGAGGTTGTTAATTTGGGGTTTTCATCAGCTGTACGCCATGATCATCACAATTATAACAAATAAAGGCTTGACATATCTCGCTTTGCATGTCATGAGTCTATCTCATATATTAGTTTCACCTTTTAAGTTGAATTACTGAAATAAATGAACTTTTCCACGATATTCTAATTTTCTGAGTTTCCCCTCTATATGCTACTTCCAGGATAAGATGCAGCAGGACTCCCAGTACCAGGCAGGCAGCACTATGGCATTAACGTTCTGTTTGTCGGATTCCCATAGGCATCTGGTCATCCACTGTGGCTAAACAGAATGCTGTACTACATGCAGCAAGTCTTTGCCCTGGACCAGCAGGTTTCTGCTGAAGACCTTCTGTTTGTAAACAGTTATGTGTAGAAAGGCATGTGATTTAGGCTCATATTCCGCCTTCTGCATCCATGAAGCCTTCTGTGGGACCAATTATCCTGCACTACCGGAGATCATGATCCCAAACATTGTAGCTTGTACAGCAACTTTGTTTTTGTCTCAGTCAAATGGCGGACCTTCACCTTTCACAATATGGGGAAATTGACCTGTTTCTTCAGCCACGAGCGATGTTCCCCTTCAGCAACTCACATCCACATCTGAAAAAATCCCCGCAGGGCGTTTGGTTCAGATTATGCATGCCTTCCCAACTGTTTGATCCCTTCCCTCTCTCTCTCCACCTGTGCCACCTGCCATCTTGAGATCTGGCAATGGTTCCTTGCTGTTATTCTGATAGTTTGGCAGATGAACTCCATTCAGCTGTAAATATGCAGTTGTGCTGCCAAGCAGTGAATGATTGGTCTCAAGCAAAGGGGACTCTCTTTTTTCACTCTAAGGTTCTGGCATGTCATTCTGTGGTTAATCACTTTTAGTGAGTGTCAGTCAAGGCTACTCAATGTGACTCTAATGGATGTTCCCAATCCATAACAGAGAGCTGTTAGATGCCAGATGCCAATCTGTTTTGTCACTGATGTGCCTAAGATTCTCGCAAATCAACGACTACAATGAATCAACCGTGGTTTGTATTTTCTTATAAAAAAAAAAAAAGAGGGGAGGGGGATCCACAAAATGAGCAAGAATCCAAATGTTAATGGTGCAGAGCTTTCGAAGTAAATTGATATTTTCCCTCCATGCATGTGGGAGAATGTCAGTAATTTATAGCATAAGTCTTATAGCAACAGAAAGGCTAACAAATTTATTATAGAGCGAGCGCTCATGAACTACAGCCACTTCATCAGATGCCTGAAGAACAGATAATGCTTTATGCATATGACAAAGTGGACTGATGTCTGTGAAAGCTTAGGACAGAGGTCATCCACCTGGCACCTGCAAGCAACATGGTACCCACAAAAGCTTCCACTGGTGCCCTGGACTCTGAGATGTTTTTTTTAAAGGAAGTCTCTAGCCTTCCTAGAAAGAAGATTATGGGGCAAAATGTTCAGGTATCTTTGTGTGAAATGAGATTGTGCGTGGTGTAGCTACCTTGTACATTATCCCCTATTACTAGACAACAACTCTCACTCTGTGTGTGTGTGTGTGTGTGTGTGTGTGTGTGTGTGTGTGTAAGATCAATATTGTGTGATCTCCACAGTCAGGACCAGTAGGACAAAACCAAATTCCCATGTTAAGCTTTAGGTTCCAGGGGTTGCTATCTCTCTAATTTTGTGTTAAGCCAAACCCCCTCCCCATAGTAGCTATTTTGTGATTGATGCCCCCAGTACCCTCTCAAAATTCAAAATGTGTCCACTGATTTACAAGTGTAAAGTCATGTATGTTGGGACATAACATCTGAATTTCACATATACGCTTATGGGTTCTGAACTGAAGCAGAATGACCAGGAATGAGGAGGAGCTCAACGTGGCATATATGATTCTGTCCCTCTTCCCATTTTATCCTCACAACAACCCTCTGAGGTAGGTTAAACTGAGAGCTGCTGACTGGCCCACAGCCACCCAGTGAGCTTCATGGCTGGGTGGGGATTCGAACCCCAGTCTCCTAGGTCCTAGTCCAGCACTCTAACCACTAAAGGTGAAAGGTAAAGGACCCTGGACAGTTAAGTCCAGTCAAAGGCAACTATGGGGTGCAGCGCTCATCTTGCTTTCCGGGTCATGTGGCCAGCATGACTAAACTGCTTCTGGCACAACAGAACACTGTGACAGAAACCAGAGCGCACGGAAATGCCATTTCCCTTCCTGCCACAGCGGAACCTATTTATCTACTTGCACTTTGACGTGCTTTTGAACTGCTAGGTTGGCAGAAGCTGGGACAGAGCAACAGGAACCCACCCTGTTGTGTGGATTCGAACCGCTGACCCTCTGATCAGCAAGCCCAAGAGGCTCAGTGGTTTAGACCACAGCACCACCCACTCCCTGAGTCTAACCACCACACCACACTGGCTCTCAAGTAGAGAGGGAACTCCTGGGACTCAAAGCCCGCACTGCAAGCACCACAGAGTGCTTCCTTACTAACTTAGCAGACAGTGAGATGAAGAACATAGTTTTTTGGTGGAAGAAGCAGTGCAGTGGAACAGAAACAGTGCTGCGTGTGAGCTAGGCAGAGCAGAATGGAAAACTAAGCTTTTACATTCCTAGTTATGTCACAGTAGGCTGCCTCTCTTGATCTGCAAAGAGCGAGTGAATCATTCTGCCCCTAGGCAGGGGAGTTGGCTGCTGTCCTGACCTTCTTTTCATCCTTCTTATGATGTGACCATTGCCAATCAGAACTTTTTAAAAAAATTAAAATGTCATATTGCTAGCATCATCTTTTCACAGTAGATTTGCCTGGCAAAGGATCTTTGTCCCCCGCCCCCCAGTAATACATCAAAGCCTACCCAGATGGCTTCCCAAATTCCTAGAGCCCTGTTTAAAATATCTGAACCCCCAGCGTGTCCTTCACACATTGGCTTCAGATAACAAGATCCTCAGCGTGGAAAGGACTGGTGCGTCCAAAGCTTTTAATCATTGGCATCTCAGCACTGTGCTCTAAGTTCTTAAATAAGCTGAGCTGACAAAGTCCACTGGCTACCAAATTTCCTGCCTCTGTTAAATAAAGCTTATTGCCAAGAGAGAGAGAGAGAGGATGAAGATGAAGATAAGGTTGCTCCGCATGGTAAGGACTTGTTTACTTGTTACATTTCTCCCTGAGGAATTGTTCCCTTGCTGAACACGTCCCTGTGGATTCTGCACCCCCCCTCCTAGAGTTGGACACATGTTACTTTTCTCGATTTTATATTGCTCTGGCAATCTCATCCTTCAGTTTGAGACATGGCTCAGTTTCAGAGCCTGTTTCCAATGCCCTAGCTTGGCCCTGACGAGGCTATAGCTCAGTGGTAGAGCATCTGCTTTGCATCCAGAAGATTCCAGGTTCAATCCCTGGTATCTCCAGGTCAGGCCATGGGAAAATCCCACCTGAAACCCTGAAGAGCCATTACTAGTCAGTGCAGAATACTGGATGGTCCAACACTCTTAACTCGGTATAAGGCAGCTTCCTATATTCCTATATCAACCTTGTTAACAAGGATCATTTTGAGGATGGGCTATAGCTCAGTGGCAGAGCATGTGCCTTGCATGTAGAAGGTCGCAGGTTCAATACCAGCAACTCCAAGTAGGGTAGAGGGAGACTAACATCTTGTCAGCACAGTAATGAGTTCTGCACTCCCTGAACTCCCCATTGCTCATTGTGGAAGGTTCCTAAGAAAATAAAATGAGCCCTGCTGGCCCATCTAGTCCAACATCCTGTTCTTACCACAGCCAAACAGATGCCCATGCGAATCCCCAAAGCTCCTCTTCTATTTTTATGTTCTTATTTAGCTAGGTAGTAGTGTTCATATTGAGGCCCTAAGCGCGGGTGGCGCTGTGGGTTAAACCACAGAGCCTAGGACTTGCTGATCAGAAGGTCAGCGGTTGGAATCCCCGTGACGGGGTGAGCTCCCATTGCTCGGTCCCTGTTCCTGCCAACTTGGCAGTTCAAAAGCACATCAAAGTGCAAGTAGATAAATAGGTACCGCTGTGGCGGGAAGGTAAATGGCATTTCCGTGCGCTGCTCTGGTTCACCAGAAGTGGCTTAGTCATGCTGGCCACATGACCCGAAAGCTGTACGCCGGCTCCCTCGGCCAATAAAGCGAGATGAGTGCCGCAACCCCAGAGTCGTCCGCAACTGGACCTAATGGTCAGGGGTCCCTTTGCCTTTAGTGTTCATATTGCACTAAATGAGTTTCAAGTACTCTATCAGAAAGTGTTCATTGAACCATCTTGATCCTAGGAGGTCCAAGTTGCCTCCATGGGACAGGTGCATTCAACCAGCTTAGGCTGCTGCTCCAGCCTGGATAGAGATACCCTGGCCTTGGTGATCTATTTCCTGGTAAACTTCAAATTTGACTGCTGCAATATATGGGCCTGTCTTTGAAGATGTTTCAGAAACTGCGATTGGGACTAGGCGTTACAGTCACATAAGGCCAGTGCTTTGCCAACTGCAGTGTTTTCCAGTTCTGTTCTGCCCCACAAGCAGAAAAAGATGCAAGACAACATATTCAATGGTCAAAAAAGGTTCTATTTATTAAATTTTAACTGATGAGAGGATCTGTCAATTAGCCAAATACCTAAGTGCAATTGGGGAAAATCAATGATTACATTAGAAGGAACCATCCTTCACCCCCACTGGACATGTAAGACAATGAGTTAATTGCTCCCCAGTGAAGCACTGGGAGAAGGTCTCCTTGTTCTGGGAGAATCAGCTAAGTGACGCCCAAGATGCCAGACTCCGCTGTCTAGCATTCACCATGGTGCACAGGCCAGGCTCTATGGGCACCCCAAGAGTGTGCCCTTATAATGCCTCAGGGTGGCAGTGAATTTAAACCTTTTCTTTTCTTTTCTTTTCTTTTCTTTTCTTTTCTTTTCTTTTCTTTCCTGGCCTGCACTGAATGCCAAGCAGCCAAATTATGCCAAATCAGCAATTGATGCTGGCTGGAACATGTCCTTGAATTCCGATAGTGTCTCTTACTTGCTGGACGGAGACTAGAGAGGGTCATGTGCGCATAGAAAGGATGCTATTGTACACAGGTAAAAAATATACTCATTGTTCTGCCCATGTTTTCCTCTGACCCTGCCCACTGTGGCCATGTGACCTTCAGGCTGAAAAGGGTTGCCCACCCCTGCTTTGTAGCATCTGCCTGTTTGTTTGTTTGTTTGTTTGTTTGTTTGTCTGTCTGTCTGTCTGTCTGCCTAGCAATCCCATGCTCAGTGTACAGGGAGACAAAAGAATCATCAGAACTTCCAGTCAGGACTCAATTTTAAAGCGGGTAGAAATGAGAAGGTGACTTCCTTTCAGCTTCCTTGCCAGCCTGCAGTAATAAGACAGCTCTTCAGCCTTCTTTAATTATATAACAGTTAGTAAACCTGATAAGATCTCTTTTTTCCCCCCACCCTCCTGTGGGGAAATCCTATAATGTCATTTGCAGTTCTTTCCCTGCCTGTGATCACTTCGTAATAGCTTTCGACTGAGGTTCAGTAAATCAATATGGCTACACACCAATCTGCACCAGCTCTCAGTGGATCCATACCAACACTTTTATTTCTTACTCCCATAGTCTTCACAGGACCTTGCCAACTGTCGGTCTCAGAAGAAGAGAGCGAAGGGAGGTTTCCATTTGCCCTGACTGCCCTGAAGGAGGGGTAAAATTCCCAGATCAGTTCAGGATTAAAGGTAAAGGTAAAGGGACCCCTGACCATTAGGTCCAGTCGTGGACGACTCTGGGGTTGTGGCGCTCATCTCGCTTTACTGGCCAAGGGAGCCGGCGTACAGCTTCCGGGTCATGTAGCCAGCATGACTAAGCCACTTCTGGTGAACCAGAGCAGCACACAGAAACACCATTTACCTTCTCGCCAGAGCAGTACCTATTTATCTACTTACACTTTGACGTGCTTTCGAACTGCTAGGTGGGCAGGATTAGGACCCCCAAAAACCAAGCTCAGCACACGCCTACTCCCACTTACTAGACTTTGGAAAGGAGGCAGGAAGCCACTCCTTCAGTGAGGCAGCCTGTGTGGGGGAACCAGTTGTGCTCTCCTAAATCTGTCCCCTCTCTTGTTAAGCAATACAAGACATTAAGAACATAAGAAGAGTAAGAAGGCCAATGGCTCATCTAGTCTAGCATCCTGTTTTAACCGTGCCCAACCAGGTGCCTGTGGGAAACCAGCAAGCAGGATTCAAGCGCAAGAGCACTCGCCCATCCTGTGGTTTCCAGCAAATGGTATTCAGAAGCATTTGTGCTTCCATCTGTGGAGGCAGAGCCATCACAGCTAGCAGTCATCAATAGCCTTATCCTCTGTGAATTTGTCTAATCCTCTTTTCAAGCAATCCGGGTTGGTGGGCCACCATTGTCTCCTGTGGGACTGAGTTCCATAGTTGAACGATGTGCCACATGTACTTCCTTTTGGCTGTCCAGAATCTTCCGCCTTTCCATTTCATTGGATCTTCATGGGTGATTGTGTTATGGGGGGAGGGGGAGAAAAGGTTATTGTCTAGCTTATATTAAATATTGTTCTGGGTTTGCTCTTGTAACAAGGAGTGGTGAAACCAAAATACATTAACTTGCAACCTTAGACCTGATGTGAACACATAATGGCTTTTTATTACACTTGCTTTGGGAGGCAACACTGTGGGAAGGTTTTTTTTGGGGGGGGGGCATTAAAATGCCAGTAGCTCATTATATTTTGCACATGAATAGAGGTTTGTAAAGCCGCTGGTTTGTCTTCTTCCATGCATATATTTCTGTTACTGTGGTCTGTCAGAGAACTCCACAAGAAGTAGGGAATCATAAATATTGAAAAGGAGATGTGTATTGACTCTTTCGATTTGCTCAGAGTCATCCCCCTTGTGCTTTTTCTGACCTGGGGGAATTATCAGTGAGATTTCTCTAAATGTCAGCTTCTGTTCCTTGAGCATCTCAAATTAGTAGGCAGGCCTTTGACTGATAATCTCGCAGGTTCAATGGGAAGCAGATTTCCACCCCCAAACTTCTTCCCCTACCCCCTTTGCAGCAGGGATCCACACGCCACCGGGTCTTGCGAATAAATTTGCCAAGGATTCCATGCACGTTCAGCCTTCAGACCAGTGTCAACGTGGGTGGCATTCACATCGAACGCAGGTTGAATGTTGGCTGAGATTCAGCGGCTGTTTCAAGGCTCGGCTGAAAGAACGCCCTGAGATATTATGCCAAATGTCTGAGTGATGTGCCCTGGCTATCCTACTGAGCCCCACTGCAAAGGATACGTTGGAACTGGAGAACCTGCCAATATTCAAAAGCAGTAGTAGGGCAAATACTTTTATAAGACTGGCTCAAATTTTACAGAAATAAGTAGAGAGACAGCAACTTTTTTGAGCTCTTTGGAACACTTATTCTGGCTGAACAAAAAGGAAAGGTGAAGGAAAGAGAAATGTTGCCAAGCATGGAGATAAACATACAAGGCCCAAACCTACAATGGCTATGTTCTACCTCCACTGACAGGGGCATTATGCCTCTAAAGATCACCTGCTAGAATTTACAAAAGGGGAAAGTTCTGTTGCACTCATGCCCAGCTTGCAGGCATCTGGCTGGACACTGTGAGAACAGAATGCTTGGCTAATTGGGCCATTGGACCAATCCATCAGACAAAAAGAATGATGGAATTTTCCCCCACACAAAAATAAAGGTATCTGTTCCAGCAAGAGGCAGTGATAGCCACCAACTTGGAAAATAAGGAAAGCAGGAAGGAAGGGGCACGGTAATGAGCATTAAATTTCTGCTTGTTTTCCAAAAGTAGCTTTTACATAGTACGAAAGATCACATAAAATGTTTAAATTATCAGGTAAGGGAGCACTGTGAAAAGTGGAATAAAGTGCTGTCTGAGTGCAGCCTTATGCCCATCAATTTCAATGACTCTACTCTAAAATGGGACACTACCTAGAATATTTAAATTTCCCTGTCTTGCACTAAAGGTAGCATTTCTCTCTCAAGCTTCCACCCAAAGAAGGTCAGTGTCAGTGACAAAACAATTCACCTTGTTTGACTGTTTCCGCTCCCCACCCCCCACCAAAGGAGCTTTCATAGAAACAATGGCATGAACATTATATTCAGCATAGACCCACTGAAATTAATGGACCTGAGTTATTCATACCTGTTAATTTCACCGTGCCTACTCTGAGTAGGACTAGCACTGGACACAACCCAATGGGAAAGCTGAGTGTCAATGAGAGGAGAACGTCCATTGCACCATCACCTCTGCTTTGATTTGCTTCCTTAACTTTATTTGATGACTGCTATTAAGAAGACCCACCCCCCCACCCTGTTTCCAGAGCTTTCCTGGTATTTCATTATCTAGCTTGAGCTTGAATTTTTGCATGAAAAGTTTTCACATTAGAGTAGCATTCCCTGACGAAGAGGAAGATCAAAAAACAAAACCAGGTTCAATTTTTGATCTGCCGCGCCTGTGCTTCATCTCTCGCTACCTTTTTTAAGTCAACTGTAAAAAGAATATGACACTTGGGCATGATTAGTTCTTCTCATTCTGTACCTTTCCACTGGAGGAAGGGGGCTGCCAGTTTCATGCTCCTCCCTTGATCTGCCGAGTTCCGAAGCATGAGTCAGAAGTGCTTCATGTCAGAAATTAGGATTCTCTCCAAGAGCCATGAACTGATGAAGTCTTTTGTTGTTTTGAGACAAAATGCACTGAGTTCTTCTCTTTTAGAAGTTAGTCATCCTTTTCTCAAGGCTTTCTCTCTCTCTCTCTCTCTCTCTCTCTCTCTCTCACACACACACACACACACACATATTAAAACTGAAACAATATTTGCAAGCTGGCCTGAGTAATTATTATGCTTTGAGATTCTGGTGCCTTAAATTAAAACTTCTCTTCGTTTCATCTTCTGCCTAGTGTAGGCACTTGAACCTCAAGTGCTGGAAGTCGTGTTCACTGGTACTTGGGACAAAGGCCCTTCAAAATTCTCAATCTTGGGCTGTGTCATTTTCATTTTACTTAACGGAAGGATATGTGAACTAGAATCTATCCTGTGTTCTCAGTAATTATATGCTAAAGGTGTATAATGTGCTTTGGGGGTATATTTTAGACTTCAACATTGTTAATAAAAAGTTTTAAAGCTTTAAAAAAGAACGTTCTCCATGATGTTTGTGGAAAGAGAAATTTATTTTGGGGGGCAGGGGAATTTATCTAATTTTTATGGGGGAGGAAAGACCACTGCTTGGCCAGGACAGGCACAGGCCAAGGACTCTGGGGGCTTGGAAGGACCCCTCCTTGATGCATCACAGGTGCATATCTAGTCACCATCATCTCTGTGCCACTTGGAAGGCTAGCAAAAGTCAGCTTCCATGCATGGTGGCTACCCGCATTGCATTTTGTGTAAATGGCAGACAGCCACCATGCATGGGAGCTGACTTAGTTCCCATTCAAAAGCATCATCACCAGTCCATCGCTGCAGGGTGTCTCCAGGGGTTCAGTACAGGGTGGGTGATTGCCACTGCTGCCCAAGCAGTTGTGGTGGCCAAGGAAGTTGGTGGTGGCCACCTACACAAGCAAAGCTAGGTCCTCAATTGGAATGTGTATGTGTTGGGAATGGGGGCCCACCACTGACACCAGCCCTGGGAAGAGATATTCCCTAATAGTTTCTTGAGGGCAAGAGTTATCATTAGCCATTGCACTAGCATGGCTTCCATCTTTTTTCATTAAGGTCCCCATCAGCACTACTGCTAGTGAAAGCAGTAGCAGCCTGGCCGCCATTTTGTAATCCCCCACAGTGCCCCAGGTTTAGTGCCATCCCAGGGTTTCCATACTCCTCTTGGCTAGGGCTTCAAACTTAAAGGTCTCTGGTCCAGTCCTAGCCAATAGAAACACAATGTCCACAGGATTCTACATCTTGTCCTCAAGTGTAGCTAGAGTTTCTGCCCAAATAATGCCTCCCGCAGTTCCCAGAGAATTAATTTAGAACAACGTACAAGATAAAAACATGCATTTATGCATCCCCTGTTATTATTCCGAGCCCTTTAATATTACTTGGGGGTAAAGCCTTAATTGCTTTTCTTGTTATCCATTATCTGAGGACATTTCTGAGACATCCCGTAATGAAAAGACTATTCAGATCACATCACAAGCACCACAGCAGCCTTGGTTATTGAATAATATTCTTTTTTTTCCCCTCTTGGTAAAGGAAAGGGCATTTAAAATCAAACAGAAAAAGCCAGTAAAATGATTATTAAACATAAGAAGGCATTGCATTACAGAGCATCACAGATGCACTTGGAGATACATCATTGCAAACTTCAAAAAACCATTAGCTGTACCTCATCGTGGGTTTTGTTTCTATTAAAAAAATTGTTATAAAGAAAACAATAACAATACAAAAATAACAAGCCTCTGCAGCTCCCACTTCCCTTCTTCTTCCAACAGCAGTTGTATTACAAAAACACAAAATTTGTGAGCATCACTGGTTGGATCCCATAATCAGGTAAGGTAGGGAGCTTGAGTTTCAAACAACAAGGGATGATAGTCCTGAATTGTCCACTCTGGTGGACAGCAGCTCACCATACCCTGCCTCATCTCCTAAAATGGTAAACTGAGATATTAGGGACTGAATCTGTGAGATGCTCCCAGGGTCTAGTTGTGACAAGAACACCTGGCCAGAGACTAGAGTCACCAGCTAAGGAGCTAGACTTCTTGACTCTGAACTTGATGCTGGTGATCCAGGGACTATTGAACTGAGGATTGGCAGGCAGGAGCCTCCCAAGCCAGATCCCACAACACCAGGCCTGAAGAACTGGAGCCAGGACTCTGTGGACACCTTTCCCTGGGTCTGGGTTACTAATTGCAAGTCCAAAAGAAAAGGAAGTGTACCAAGTTAGACAGCAGGAGAAGTGCCCAGCTTTAGGCCAGAGGGCTTACCTTTTAAGAGGCTATGGTTCTCCAGAAGGGGGGCACCATTTAGGAGAAGGGGCCTGGAGGCTAAGGCTTTAAAGTTCTCTGTTCACATCCAATCCTTCTTGGGGCAACTTGTGCACTTGGAGCTCTCCATGGTGTTGAAACAGCCTTTTGCTGTAGGCTCCTCCATGGAAGTGGAGCAGGATAATTTGTGACCTTCTGTGTGCAAAGTACAGTCATTCCTCGGGTTACAGATGCTTCAGGTTGTGTGTTTTCAGGTTGCACACTGCGCCAAACCCGGAAGTACCAGAACAGGTTGTTTCCAGGTTTTGGCGCTTGCGCATGCGCAGAACCGCTAAATTGCACTTTGTGCATGTGCAGAAGTGCCAAATTGCGATCCGCGCATGCGCAGATGCAGCGGTGAGGGTTGCGAACGCTGCGGGGTGCGATCGGATCATGTTCGCAACCCGAGCGTCCACTGTATATGTTTTGCCATTGCGTTCTGGTCTCACCTAACATTTTATTCTATAAATGTACAGAAACGTCTTTGTACAAAATGTTACAAACTGTACATTTGGAAAAATTAAAGTGTAAACATCATGCAATAATTCAGGAACACAGGGAGCTACTTTACACAGAGTCGAACCCTTAGTTGATCTAGTTCCATACTGTCTACACTGACTGGCTAGTCTTTCCAAGGCTTCTGTTTGGGGGTATTCCAACTCCTACCAGGAGATGCCAAGGAATGGACCTGGGACCTTCTATCTGCATAGCAGATGCTCTGCCCCTGAGCTACGGCCCTTCCCCTTAATTTACATGCCTTTTAAGTGAATTAAATTGCACACATGGATAAATGCTTCCTTCTGGGTGAATTCACATGAGCACAACGGTCGGAATAGCAGGTGGGAATCTAAAGGAAAGGAAGACTGCATTCACTTTCACCCTGGATTGGTTACTTTCAGCCTGGAAGGGTTTTCTTTCCCTTTGAAGACTTTGAGGATTTCTTCACCAGGCTTTTTAAAACATGAAAAGGTAACCTATCAAGATGGGACGTATCTCCCAGGGTGAACTGATGCCAAAGTTCTCCATTTTAAATAATATTCTGGACTCCTTTTCCCTTTCCCTTTTTTCTTTCTTTCTTTTTTTTTTACAATAGCCATTATCTCACGCTTCATTCAGAATCACTGTAATTTGAGTGTGGAAGGAGCAGCATGGGCATGTCACTCTAATGAAAGTCTTTGTATGAGATCTGGGCAAGTGGTGTCAAGTGTACAGCTTGCCTCAGTTCCAACATACAAGAAGAATTCTGATGCATTCTCATTTCTCAAACCAGACCAGCTAGAAGAAATGCTGAAATTAGGCCTCCTATCACCATTCGCCAGCCCTCAGGCAGCTCCTGTGATCCCAGCAGGTTGGCAGGGTCTACTACAGATGCCTACCTGAGACCATCATATATACAGGGGGTGTCACTGCCTGGAGTTGACAATGTGACTGAAATAAGCTCCATCCCAAGGTATGTTGCACTCAGGTCCTTGTTACAGGCTTCCCATAGGTATCTGGCTGCCTACTTTGAGAACACGACACTGGACTAGATGGGCCAGTGAAGCTCTTCTGATGTTCTTAAGAATCTTCTACAAGGAGTAATGGGGAGCTCAGGGTAGTGCTCATTACTGTGAGGATAGGACCGGATGTTACAGTTTGCTGGAGAGTCTCTCTAGTGATCCACAACATGCAGGAGTGTATGAGATTTGTGGTGGTGGGCATCTGCTTTGTTGTCGTTTAGTTGATTAGTCATGTCCGACTCTTCATGACCCCATGGACCAGAGCACGTCAGGCACTCCTGTCTTCCACTGCCTCCCGCAGTTTGGTCAAACTCATGCTGGTAGCTTCGAGAACACTGTCCAACCATCTCGTCCTCTGTCATCCCCTTCTCCTTGTGCCCTCCATCTTTCCCAACATTGGGGTGTTTTCCAGGGAGTCTTCTCTTCTCATGAGGTGGCCAAAGTATTGGAGCCTCAGCTTCAGGATCTGTCCTTCCAGTGAGCACTCAGGGCCGATTTCCTTAAGAATGGATAGGTTTGATCTTCTTGTAGTCCACAGGACTCTCAAGAGTCTCTTCCAGCACTATAATTCAAAAGCATCAATTCTTCGGCGATCAGCCTTCTTTATGGTCCAGCTCTCACTTCCATACATCACTACTGGGAAAATCTGCTTAGGCACTGTAAAAATGGGATTATGGACTTAGATGGGCCACTGGCCTGATCCTGCAAGTTCTTCTTATGTTCTTCTAGCAGCTCCCTCTTGGGACCCAGCCAGTATAAAATAAACAAATATGTTTGGCTGTCCTTTTGCCCTAAACTCCTTGCTAGATTAAAACTACGGAAGTTCCTATGACAAATTAACTAAAAAATTTTTAAAAGACCGTGGAAGGCTCCCACTTGCCACTTCCCCCTGCCTTTGATTAAACTTCATCAGGGTCTAAGAGACTGTTTTTAACTGTCCTGAGCCAGGGATGCAGTCGTGGGAATGGGCCAGTTTCAAACTGGTAGATCTCAAAGAAAATGTTTCCTTTTAACATTTAGGTGTATTGAGTGTGTTTTAAAAAAGAAAGAAAGAAAGAAAAGTTCCTTTTGCTTCATTGCACCTTCTGGAAAGAAATTCAATCAGCCTGGAGTAGATCTATATTGCTGGCAATTGCACCAGCTGATTAATACCTGCAGGAGCAATCACTTACAGTACATCATCTGCAGACTGACAAACAATTTATTATCAAGGGCTTAATTGCTTGTAATATGATAGATCCTTGTAACGAGGCAAGCCAATTTAGAAATGTAACAGTATGGGGGAAGGGCAGGAGGGTTACATTATGGGGATGAATGACCATTGAGGTTATCTTTAGAAGAAGAAAAATGAGCAGAATGGATGTTCATCCCAACTGCATTACCAGCCCAGTAGCAGAGTGTTTCGTCCCCCTTATCTCATTCATAAAACAAAACAAAACATGGGGATCAGAGAGCCCAATATTCCCCTACTCAGTCATGTAGCTTACTGGTGACTATGGGTTAGTCACCTGCTCTGAGCCTAAGCCACCTCAAAAGGTTGCTGTGAGGACAACATAAAGTGGGGGAGAAACATGTACGCCATCTTGAGCTCCTTGAGAAAAGGCGAGATATCAGTGTAAACAACGTGGACATTGTAGAAACTGTTTCCAGTGTGCCTTAATTTTTATTGTCCTGTGAACTGCCCTGAGACCTCCGGGTATAGAGGAGTATATAAATTCAATAAGTTATAATAATTTTGCTGGAAGATTTACCATGAGAATGGATCCTAATGTTGATATTTCAAGGAAGATCCTTCTACTACAGATCCAGCAAACAATCCACAAAACTGCTCAAGCTATGACCAAGTTGATGGGAATTTTGTCCAGGTCCCTCAAGTGTGTATTTTGCTCCTGGGGCACTCCGGAGAACAGAAACATGATAATGGTTTGCCTGTTAGTTTTTTTACAGTTAGAACAAGCCCTTTAAAATACAAACACCTATAACAGAAATATACAGAGCAACGTGGGGGGGGGTGAGGTTATGTGTGTGCTTCTCTGTATGATAACATGAATATTTATATTGTCCTACATAAGTGACTTGGTTCCACGCAGACTTGACAGATGCCAGTAACTTAGGTACACTCAGAAGCTGAACTGGGAAAAACATCACATTGTAATCTCCTTTGTGTAACAAGCTCTAATGAGCAGTAAACATTAACTGTGTTAGAAGCAGGCTAAATCCAAGGGATGAATTTCCTAGGAAGACTTGGCCAGATCAAAGAACACTATTGTTATGCACATTCCTAAGTACCCCCTGCTCTTAGCTTGAGTCCATATAACAATGCAGGCCAGGCTTCTGAAGCCTGCATTCTGATGTGCTGCCCTGACACAAAACATCCAGTCAGGCACAAGATGGGTGTCGACAGGGGCTGGCTGAAGTGTATATAAATCAGACCTTTTTCGCTTAGAGCAGGGAACACTCAAGAACATACGTAACAACCATCACTATGCAGGATCTCCATGAGGCACTTCCCATCGCCAGGCACTGCAGAACAGGTGCAACCTTCCAGGTGTTGCTGAACACCAACAACCCACAGCCCTAGCAAGCAAGGCCAATGGCCAGGATAATGGGAGTTGTGTGTCGAGACCCCCAAACCACTCCTTCGTTGATGAATAAGACACAAGGAGATGGATATTAGGTTAATGTTACAGTGGTACCTCGGGTTACATAGGCTTCAGGTTACAGACTCCGCTAACCCAGAAATAGTACTTCAGGTTAAGAACTTTGCTTCAGGATGAAAACAGAAATTGCACAATGGCGGTGTGGCAGCAGCAGGAGGCCCCATTAGCTAAAGTGGTGCTTCAGGTTAAGAACAGTTTCTGGTTAAGAACGGACCTCCAGAACGAATTAAGTATGTAACCAGAGGTACCACTGTATTGGGCAAATTTAGGCCACAACTTTATTGGTTACAGAATGTGAGCAGTATTGGCTTAGGCATTGGAATTGACCCGACTATATCTGACTCCTGCCCGTCACGCAGGGAGTCCAGTAAGGGTCAACCACCGGTAGGGGGAGCCCCATTGATGCAAACCAACTCGAGCTCCCCCAGGGTTCCTGACGGAGTCGTGGCATGGCCCTAGCCCCGCCCCGGGCTTCGGACAAGATCCACACCCCTGGATTTCTTTAACGGAATACCCTTAAGCTTGGAGGGGCAGGTGATGGCCACACCTCCCCCAACATAAGATCAACCAATGCCTAACCGCCAAACCTTACAAAGTTGTGACGATTGCTACGAGGTATGCCAAATGGCCTGTGCCAATTTGCCAAGTGGGGAAATTCCTACCAGGCCCCTCAATGGTGACCAACTGAGGTCCATAGCAAGGCCAATGCCGAAACCTGAAAATTAGGGAAGGAGGGAGGTAGATTGAGGAAGCGAGCCAAGAGTAAGCTTTCCGACTCGCGCCTCAGTTTAAATGGGGCCCGGCCACACCTCCCCAGCCAGTGGATTGGCTGGCTGGACAATGACATGGCCAGGAACCTCCGGGTGATGCAAGACTTCGTTCCCTGCCCCCGGAGGGGAGTGGGTGGCCATGTGGTCCACCGCAACTCTTCCCCACTGGGAAGTGGAGCGGATTTGCTAGGTCTAGCCACCTAGCACCTGCAATGCTGAGTTGGGAAAGGTGAAATTAAGAGGGTCCTCTGGCTGTTGACTAATGGAGACCTGGCAACTCACCACTGATACCAGGTGCTGATCCTTAGCCCTGAAGCTCTGATGAGAACAAAGTGTGGGTCTTGCCCCTTAGTGTGCAGGTTGTATAGGTCTTGCAGGAAAAGACAGATGTATGCAGATTTAAAAGGTGGCTTGCTAATTGGGGTTCAGCCGCAAAGCTTATCTGGGTGGACAATGCCGCTGAATTATTGCCACTTGCCATCTTACACAGAAAAAAAGAAAGAAAAAAGAAAGGTTAACTACCCAGGAATAGGAAATTAATAACTGAAAAGAAAGCCTTTGTGCAATGTTTAAAAAAAAACATTTTTTTCATAATTATGTCAGTACTGTGTTTCTAATCATTCCTCATGTTGAGATAAAAGTGTTATCAAAAGGAGTGTGTTTGAATGAGAATTATTTTTTTCTTTTCATATTCTGAGCAGCACCATGAAGACTCTTAAACGTAACAGGAAATGTCAGGTTTACTGGGAAACGCATGGCTTTTTCTACAGAAGTGCCAAGACTTGATGTACCTTTGAAATTATAATT